TGATGTAATGCAGATTAAACTATGACCAAATTAACGAATTAACTCTAACTATAATTAATAATTAAGAAATATATATATATATATATATACATATATATATATGTATGTGTAATGGCACTCACCCTCTCCAGTACTATGTCAATAGTATGCCCTGGTGCAATTCCACGCTAGTAGCATATATTGTATGAAAAAGGGAGATGCACTCTGCGGTCTTTCTGAACGAAATTACTGGTATTTAATGTTAAAAAATGTTTACATAAATCTGATCGACGTTTCAACCTCTTCAGGTCTTCCTTAACATTAAATAACAGTAATTTCGTTCAGAAAGACCGCAGAGTGCATCTGCCTTTTTCATAGAATATATATATATAAAAAGAAATTACAAATTCAGTTAATGTAACTTAATCTTGTCAATTCGACATTATATATATATATATATATTATCTCTTCTTTTGGTAATACAATTTCTCATGTTATTTCAGAGCTCTTCTAAGGAAAATAAACAACACCATTTCTATTGGTATTTTAATTCATGCAGATTGTAAATACTGAGATTATACAAGTATAGTCTTTTCCTAATCAACAGCAAAGAGGAAATTTGCAGAACATTTGTCTACTTTGCCTAATGGGAATTTCTTCCCAGCATACTGTTATAAAGAATAAAATAGAAAATGTAATTAGATTCCGCACCATGGACAGCACAGGCCATCTTCTCCCCCAGCATAATGTTCAGCAGTCCCTGATGACCACAAACAATCCTATCGGAGGTTTAGGATCTCTATAATTAGCATGTCATTAACAATGTATTTCATTAAGCAATGTGCAAAGTATTGCACTGGAGGTCTGAGTTGTCTTCAGCCTGGGAGGAATAGAAATGGGCAGCTGTGGATAGTCTCTGAGGATTAAGTATTAAACCCCCACACATTATTGACTCTTTCCAAGCATCATTGTATGATTCACAATACATCACTTTTGACACTCTCTCTCCCCAGTCTCAATTTCCACCTTCTTTGACTTGCACTTAGCATTACTCTTCACTAAACACATGCTTGGTTATTTACAGGATCAAATTGACAAGATTACATTAAAATAACTGAATTTGTAATTGATGTATTTGCAAAAGGCAAATCCAGTTGAAATGCGGTTCTTTCAAACTGAATGAGCACTTCTCATTGAGCACATTACACCGTGACACTATTTTGCAGAAGAATATATAGAAGTCTGGACTATTTGCCCACTGGTAGTGACAGCCTTGTCGAAGTGCTCTCTGCATGGTCCTAGAGCCAATACACAACTGTGCTGCTCGTGGACAGTCCCCTGGAAGAGGGACACGAGCAAACAATATTGGGTTGGCAGTACCCAAAATTTGAAATGTCCTGTTAAATGCGGGACTGGTGCAATACATGTCCTAAGTCCCTTATTCATGGACATTGTGGGCAGGATTATCAAGAGGACCTGCCACTGGTCGCAGTCAGACAGTCAAATTTCTTTGGGTTCCCATGTTTTTGTGTGTCTACCTGACTCAGTTTTCAGGACACAATCAGGATGTATTGACACATGATCTGTCTCTGATCTGGGTGTCAGTGTGTAATCCCTCTGTAGGGAGTGGCAATACTGATTATTTTGCGGAGTATTCTACATCAGTCTTTCAGGCTAGCAAAAATTATCCTTTCATTGTCCTAATCATGGGCATTAGATGTTGGTTCAATAGGCAGGCCTGTGACCTGTTTTGTTCCTGCAGTGAGGGGGTAAATTGTTTGGTTGCAAATGGTATCTCTGAGACATTAATGGCTATAATAACTCCACAGTGGTAGGGGTGCTGGCTTCAACACTTACTCTCTCTTACATTCAAGCTTACTTTGAATAAATTATTGGTGCTCTCCCAGCCTCACACTTGCTGTATTTCGCTTGTGGACTCTCTCCCAGCCTCACATCCACTCTTTTTCACTTACAGACTCCCAGCCTCACACTCATATATTGCTTACTGACTCTCTCCCAACCTTGAACTCGCTCTCTTTACCTACTGACTCTCTCCCAGCCTTGAACTCACTCTCTTTACCTATTGACTCTCTCTCAGCCCTGAGCTCACTCTCTTTACCTACTGACTCTCTCCCAGCCCTGAGCTCACTCTCTTCACTTGCTGACTCTCTCCCAGCCTTGAACAAACTCTCTTTACCTACTCTCTCCCATCCTTGAGCTCACTCTCTTCACTTGCAACTCTCTCCCAGCCTTGAACCCACTCGCTTCACTTACTGACTCTCTCTCAGCCTTGAACCCACTCGCTTCACTTACCTACTCTCTCCCAGCCTTCAGCTCACTCTCTTCACTTACTGACTCTCTCCCAGCCTTGAGCTCACTCTCTTTACCTACTGACTCTCTCCCAGCCCTGAGCCCCCCATTCACTTACTCTTTCCCAGCCCTGAGCTCTCTCTTCACTTGCTGACTCTCTCCCAGCCTTGAACCCACTCTCTTCACATACCTGCTCTCTCCCAGCCTTCAGCTCACTCTTTTCACTTGCTGACTCTCTCCCAGCCTCATGTTAACTTTGTATCACTTACTGTTGGTCTCCCAGCCTCACACTCACTCTTCAATATATTGCTTAATATCTCTCTCAGCCTCAGTCTTTTCTCATTACCAATTGCTCTCTCTCTTCCCGATCTTTCCTTCCTCACTGTCTCTCTCTTAACTGCACTCCATCTCTCATCACTCACAGGCTGCCTCAAACCCACACTCCATATGTCATTACTCACTGACTCTCTCTCAAAACCTCAGCCTATCCCAGGGGTAAGCAACCTTTGGCACTCAGGATATTTTGGACTACATCTCCCATAATGCTCTTGCAGCCTTAATGCTGGCAAAGCATCAAGGGAGATGTAGTCAACAACATCTGGAGTGTCAAAGGTTGCTTACCTTTGGTCTATCCCATTTCTTACTTTCACTCTCTTTCTCAAAATACACACTCTATCTCTTATCCTTCAGTGTCTCTCTAATCTGTGAATGGCTCACTCACAGCTCCACTCTCTTATTCTTTGCAGACTCTCTCCAGGCCTTTCATTCTCGTAGTTCATGTTTCCAAGCAGATAACTCTGTGCTAATTCAGTTAGTGTTCTCAATGTTCTCTCGTCTCAGACTAAGGCCGAGTCCCAGACTCCTCCTTTTCCCATCACATTGATGGATGAGGGCTGCAGGTTTTATCATTCTACTTTAGGGTGTGTGAAAGCTCCTGGGGGATATAACGGATAGAGAAAAGCTACCGAGCTCTCGATATCTGCATCTGGACAATAACACAAACAAAGATAAATGCTACAATAGGGACCATGGATTTTACTTTATTGATCATTTAACACAAAGGCTCTTTGTCACTGTTTCACAGCTTTAAATCGTTTGGAGCTAGAAAAGCTGCAAAGGCTTATGGGGGATGTGACCAAAACTCCCTTGGCATTGATATTTGGGTTATTTTTGTGTAAGTGACACAGTGGTAACAAGAAAAGAGCTCAAAGGCAGTTTTCCAAGTACAATTGCTTCTTATTGAATGCTGGAAAAAAGAAAGATTTTATTTTCCTGCTTGCAAGTAAAGGCTATTCTTAACCTGTTAATACACAGCAGGACTACCATGTGTTATATGGCTTCATTCTGATTCATTGGAACCCATCTTAACTCCTTAAATGTTAGTTCTCTGGAATATACACATTAAATAAATCATTGAATATCACCCATAACTTGTGTTAACCTTTTTTCATGAGATGCTTCACTTTCATTTCAATTTATGACAAGAACAATGATTGAGCCAAGGTGGCAGATAAAAAGGTGTGAATTTCCCACCTCCCCAAATACATATGTTTAATGCAAAGATGTAAATTAATGTAAAATTATTAAAAAAATATTCATTTAAAAAAAAAAAAAAGTCACCATTCCACTTTAAAGGGATCAAGATTGATAAAGTTTATATTAAAACAAACAAACAAAACACTTGCAAGCATTTGAGTGGCTGAATTGTCAATAACTAATTGTACCCCTGGAATTTTTAGTATTGACTTGGTGTGCTTGCTGAGGCTCCACTCTGCCCCCAGGAGATTATCACTTTGACCTCCCAGGCAATCCAATACTTCTCCCAGAGAAGCATTGGGAAGTGGGACATAAGTGGCTGGGCCTTAGAAGATGGTGCTGGTGCTGGTGCTGGCTAGGGAATTTGCAATTGGAGTGACTCAGCAGATCTGCATCACAGAAGAGGTTGGCCTTGCTTGAGAAATGCCCCCAAGCAGGGCACATGAGAAAAGACCACTGGGAGGAGCAAACAGCAGACCGGAGATGGGAATACACAGCACGCTCGACCAGAGGTAAGGTGAGTTTATATCTGAATATTTCACAATTAATGCATCCTTTATATCTGTGATATATGATTTATTCAATGTATTTGTGGCCGATTTATGTTAACTTAAAAAATACATCACAGGTTCACTTTAAAGGAACATTAACAAACGTAAAACACCTATTTATGAGTCCTGAACAAGGACACTATTTTGGAAATGCAAAATAAACATAAAAATTGAAATACTTTTAGATCCACTCCTGGTTAGATGTATTTTTTATTAGGTGATAAAGTGTATCATTATTGGTACACTATTTTTTTTTATTACTAACCTTACTCGGCTGTTGGTTAAATGCAGTATGCATAAACAGAGGATTTGGCCGTAGCAAGAGGACGCCAGCTACTGCATTTGTAGTACGTGCCAATTGTCAAAATTGATGGTCTATGGAAGCCAGTTTTACGTTCCTCCACAAATTGTGAACATGTTCAATAGCATTATTAAATAAAACACATACCCATTTTGGCTGCATTCATTTTTTTTTTTATACATTTTGTTTCACGCATGAACTGCACAAAAAACTTGGAATGATTGTATAATTCTATTTTGTCTCATATATGGGTTTTCATCCTATTTAGGAATAGACAGTAATTTAATATGAAGTAGAAACCGTGAAGTTTGGTAGGCTGGCAAATGATTTGCAAAATGAAGTCTCAAAACAAATAACTGAACCTTAAATAAACGCTATCATTTTAAAATTTATGGTTAACATTACATGTTGCCCTTATCCTTAACCACTCAGTATTTGCGTTTAAAGGGTCACTCCACTGCCCAAATACAAATGTAAATAAATGGAGAGAAAAAAAAACACACGGTTTACCAGATATAACCCCAAAAAACATCAATGCATTTATTATTATGCATTTTTTCATTTGTAGTACATCTAACAACAGCTTGCAAAAGTTGAAGATTTCTTGTCTGAACTCTTTGTAAGTCCTCCCCTTCTAACCCTGCCCAGACTTTCTGTGACTGTCCAATCACAGATTTCCCATTGCAGCTGAAAGAGAAATCTTGCAAGGCAGATGCTCTGAACAATTGACTGCCTCCTGTGTTTTAGCTCCACTGAGCTAATCAACCAGGAAGTAACAGGACTGATTGTCTAATTGAAAAGTTAACTTATTAAGGTAACAATTTTAACTGAAATCTGCACTTTTTGTGAAAGGAAAAAAAAAAGAGGACACTCTTCATGCATGAAGCACTTCAGCAAGCTCAATTGCATTAGGGTTGGAGTGTCTCATTAACTAGAAACAAAAAAAAAAGAAAGCTTTTTTTTTCCATATAAACTATTTAAGCCTAAAACAGGGTCAGATTACAATAGAGTCTATTGGAGATGAATCTCCTGGTCCGCTCACTGCAATATGTCCAAGCTACCTGACCTTTTTCATTTTTTAAATATTTTATGTTCCATTTTCATGTGTATATGCAGGGAGACACAAATATTCTGCCTGGCTAAGCTACATTGAAATATCACATAACGTAGGAAGACATTTGAAGGGTATATCTCTGAACTAGGTCCATTGAAAAAGTGACTTTTGTGTCCTATGAATGATAGGATGGATTCCATGTTCTCCATAGGCAGGGACCTCTTGTAACCCTTTCTCGACAACTGATTTCTCTGTGCCTCAGTCTGCTTGTAAAGATGTATTTTATATACTTAAGTTTATAAATGCACATGGGGATGGTTTCACATATGGCTGCAAAAGCTAGTTGAAGAACAAGGGTAAGCATGTGTATCTGGCTAAGGCCAGTAAGGTATTGTCATGCATGAAAAAGGGGCATTAATTCTCGGGATGAGAATGTAATTTTGCCTTGTTATAAATCACTGGTAGGACCCCATCTTGAATATGCTTTGCAATTTTGGGCACCTGTTCTAAAGAAGGATGTTATGGCACTAGTAAGAGTGCAGAGGCAGGTTACAAAATAAAAGGAATGGAAAATTTTACCTATGAAGAAAGGTTAACAAATTTAAACCTCTTTAGTTTAGAAAAACATCGCCTCAGAGGGGATATGATAACATTATACAAATATATCCAGGGCCAATACAAACCATTGTGTGTAAATCTATTCACAAACAGGACTTTACATAGGACACGAGGTCATGCGTTTAGACTGAAAGAAAGAAGATTTAGTCTAAAGCAAAGGAGAGATTTTTTTTTTTACTGTAAGAACAATAAGGATATGGAATTCTCTGCCTGAAGAAGTGAAATTTTTTTAGTTGTGGGTAATAGCTTCTTGATTAAAGGATAAACCTGACTGCCATTCTGGGGTCAAGAGAGAATTGTTTTCCTAGTTTGTTTCAAAATTGGAAGTGCTTCAAAGAACATTATGAAATACCGTAATTCAAGGGGCACTATAGGCAGCCAGACAACTTCATCTCATTGAAGCAGTCTGGGTGCAATGTCCCTGTCATTTTAGCCCTGCAGGTGCAAACATTGCAGCAGAGAAACGACATTGTTTACACTGCAGGGTTAAGCCTGCTTCTAGTGGCTGTCTACCACTGGGCATATGCATTAGGTTCCCCCATCGGCTGATGTCGGAGGAGGAGAAGCGTGACCCAGCGCCAACGGTAAGGCAACCCTTTACTTGCCACGGGGGGTGGGGGGGTGGAACACTGTAGTGTTAGGAATACAATTTGGTATTCCTAACACTATAGTATTCCAATCAGTCCTCAGTAGATTCAGTGTTCACACCCATTTATTCCCCCCCACCCTCCCACAATTCAGCAGTGGCCTAAGATTTATGATGCAAATGTAAATTTTCCACAATTCTTGGTTTAGTGAATATTTTCCTATATATTGACTGCAGATTATCCTGACCTCATGTGATTTTGCTTTCAGTTATATTTGTGTCTATACATTAAATACTATGGATGGAATAATCAGATTGAATTAAGAAAAGCAAAGAATTTATTTTATTGGGAACATGTTTCAATCACCAACAAATGAATTGGGAATATTTCGAGCCAAATGGAGTTGAAACTTTGCTGGTTCCCTTTATGGTGGAAAATAGCCTCTTGTGTCTAAATATTGTCAGGGACATTTTATAAATAAACTCCACAGATATAATCCTGTAATTGATGAGTGGAGTGCTAAACAACAAGTATTTTGAATGCAAAAATTGCTTACCCCTAATGCATAAATATGGAAGTCTTGATGTAATAAATCATGTAAACGATAAAAACAGAACAAACGCTAGTGCAGATGGTGCTTATATGAATTATGAAAAGCGCCAACAGGTGTAAATAATAAACTCAGAGCCTGTTCAGAGCCTGAATTTGTTATGGTGCCAAGAGGCCACCGGATGCACTCTTACCTCAAGGTGTTAAACAGATGTTAAAGGTTTAACCCCAACGTTGCCTCCAGTGGCGATGTCCACAAGCCCCCGGCGCAATTTGGCTTCTGAATTTTAAGATTCAGGACGCGCGGAGTGCCACTGGGTACCTGATGCTCTCAGCCAATCAGTGACCTCTCATTCACTAAACTGGCTTGCAAAGAAATGTACCTTTTCCAAGTGAGTTTAGTGAATTGTGAGTCACTGCCCTGCCCGGTGGCACTGAGCACTTCCTAAATCTGAAATTTCACAGTTCGAACAGGAAGTGGACATTGCTGGAGGCAACTTTGGGGTTAAACTGTTCAAGGTAAAAGTGCTTCCAGGTGCCTCCTGGCACCATAACAATTTAATTTACATGAATTTGTTTTGGTGCCTGCAGTGTCCATTTAACTCTGTATGTCAGTTGTATGTGGCTGCTCAATTGATGTGTGTGTAAATGTCCTCCTGTCGCTACACAAGCCTTGTTTCTTGCTTGCTTTGGTCCAGACAGCAGTGAAAGTTCTTACTCAACACAGTGTGAAAAAACAGGGTTTATTCTGATATAGAAAACAACATTTTGTACAGAATAAAGTGACACTATGTCCTCTATTAATACTCTGTATTAGATTTCATTCTGAGCTGGGTGAGACATACACTACTTCCTAAAATGTTTTCATTATCAGCAGGATTGGCTGAGATTGTGCTTTAACGAGGTGGGTGACATGCGGAAAAAGTTATGTGGTTATTGTGCGGGAATCTGAGGGCACTGACATGCGGCATTAGTGGAGTCTGATGTCAAGGTGATAGGTGATCTCTTCCTGAGGTCTCTATGCACCATATTATGCTATCATGACAAAAAAAATCAACATAAGATACTCTAAAAGTTAACTGGAAATGAGGTCTTCATAAGCAGCCACTCATTACTCACACGTAATCCAGTGATTAATGGGGTGATACGCAGTTCTACAGGGAACACCCCTCATAGAACACCACCAGGCAGAGAGTATTGCTAACACAGCTTTACTAGGAAGCTTTATATTTATTTTACTACAAAAGAGGGTCAGGCTTCTGTTCCCCATCAGTTCAAAAATTCCAGAGAAGTAGTTGATACAACGATACAGTCAGTTCACTTGTTTGGCCCTAGAAGTGTCAGGCGTGCTGGGTCCTTACATTGTAGATCTACCCGAGCCAATGCAACAAGCATTCACACTACAAGGCTGCCTTGTCAATAAAATCAGCCCTTTTAAAATAAAATATTAAAAAAAAAAAAACCTTTACGGTAACTAGAGAAAATAAAGAGAGAAAAAAACCACCCCAAATAAAGCTGCAATACGCTATACTATAGAAACCCAAAATAATAAAGTCCGAACGGTCACTCTGTTGCCAAAACAGCAAAGTTGCACTTTCTCTTCCTGTAGTACATCCTGGACATCCTCTTCCAGTAGCACGTACACTGTTCAACCAAAATATTAGAAGGCTGCAGTAATTTTTCCATAGCGTATCTTCATTTCCATCCAGGTAAATAGAAAAAGAAGCAAACTGGTCAAGGGAAAGAATAGAGGAGAAAATGTGAGGGGTTCTTAACAGTCTTTGTGCTCTGTTAGTTTGTATCTATATAGTGTTACCACATGTAATAGCTCCGTGAGGTGTCCACTTGGGAAGCTTTAGCTTCTACTGCCCCTTCCTTGTCCTTCTCATTGTCTCCTTCCCACAGACTGATGAGGGGTGGATAAAGTTCATTCAGTGGAATAGATGATGTTTTTTGCATATACTTCTTCAAAGAATGGCGATAGTTTTTCCTCTGGAACCTTTTGGCTGCATAAACAGACACAGAGGCAAAACTAATAAGGGCGAAGAGTGAACCCATTACAGCAGCCAAGGCAGCACTTGTTTCCTGGTCAGTAACAGTCAAAGAGTAGGTCGTGCCCTTGGTGGTGACATTGAGGCAGGCACGCTGAGCTTGCTGATGTAGGCCTGACACAGTCAGGCACACTTCATATTCTGTGGCTGGCTGGAGATGGGTCAAGTTGTATTCATGAACGTCAGCTGGGACACGGGCTGTGTAAGTGATGTGTGGGTTATCGATCTTCATAGTGGCCGAAGACCACTTCAGGTTTGAAGCTAAAACACTAGAGCTCACCTTCCAGGATACCAAGACTGAGCTGGATTCAGTCTGTTGTACATACAATCTAAGGGCCTGGGTCCCATCTAATAATGTTCCATTTACTCTAAGTGTGGCTACCCTGGTGTCTGCCCCTTCCGAATTTTGTGCCACACATGTATAACGCCCAGAATCTTCAACTTGTACACTGGAAATTTGCAATGTACCCTCATCACTTAGGTGGTACTTGTCAGAGAGAGTTTCCTTGGTGACCTTATGTCCTAATGGAGTCACCCAGTAGATTTCCGGTTCTGGCTCTGCCATTGCCCGACAGTCAAGAGAAACAGCCATTCCGAGGTCTAGGTTCAGATGGCTGGGGAATGTATCTTGAGAAATCATAGGAAGACATTGTTCCCCTGCAGGGTCTTGGGCTAGTGCCTCCTTCACTGGTTGTCCACGATATTCTGGGGGAAGTGCACAGAACATGGAAAGTGGCTCCATGAAACGAATGTTAGTTTGGTTGGAACCCATCCAGTGTAGAACACAGTCACAGCGAAGTGGGTTGGTGTGTACACTGATTTCTCTTAAGTTGGGAAGAGACTCAACAGTCCCGCGATACACAGAATTGAGTGCATTATTGTTTAGCATCAAACTCTCTAGCGTAGGCACATTGCGAAAGGCAGATCGGTGGATATAGGAGAGTTTGGGGTTATTAGTAGCTTCCAGCTTGGTCAGCTCAGGAAGATTGTCCAATGCATAGCGATCCAGAGACACAAGCTCTGCCATGTTGTTGATTCCCAGCTCTTTTAAGCGCAGCATGTTTTTGAAGTCACCTTCCTGAACCTTTCGGATCGGGTTCTTATTGAGGTCCAAGAACTTGAGGTTTGGCACTTTTTGTAGAGCCATCTGAGGAACTTGTCCTAACTTGTTGTCATAAAATGAAAGGCTCTCTAGGTTATCCAGACCAAGAAGGGCATTCCCTGGAATGTCACTTAGGTACATACCAGCCAGCACCAGACTTCGCAGGTTCCCAAGAGGTTGGAAATTTAAGTCCAATATGCCAATTACAGGGTTCTCTCCAATCATAAGGATCTCTAAGTTAGGAGTGGATTCAAACCAGCGGCTGTCAATAATTCGTAGCTTGTTTGAGTTAAGGTGTAGCCTGAGCAAATTGTGAAGCCCAGAGAAGGCACTAGGTGAGATGGAGCTGAGCTGGTTGTGATTTATATAAAGCTCTTGCAGGTTGCTCAGGTCCTGTAGACAATAATCAGTCATCTCAAACACTTGGTTTTCCTCCAAGTGCAAAGTTGTAAGGTGGCTAAGATTGGACAGCCCAACATCCTGGATGGAGGTAAAGTTATTCTGAGACAGGTCGAGTTCTGTAAGATTCACAAGCCTCTGAAGCTCTCCAGTAGTCCTTGCTATGTTGTTGCTTTGAAGTAAAAGCACCTGGGTATCTGCAGAAAGATTTTCTGGAATCCGGGTCAAGCGAAGGTCATTGCAGTCCACAGTTGTGGCTTCACGGTAAGTAGACTGTGGAGTAAACCATGGTCGAATTTCACAAACACAGAGTTGGGGGCATTCATTAGTTGGAGCTGAGGACTCGGTTAAAGAACTGGAGAGAAGCCCAATCACAAGGTGACAAGTAGTTAACACAACGATGTTTATCCAAGCCATTTTAACACTTGCACAGAGATCCCACAACTCCACAAAGTCAAACAGAGCAAGTCTTCTACTGATTCCTCCACGACTTCTGATTGAATAATCTGAAACAACAGTATTGCAATACCTGAAATAGAATAATAAAGAGATTATAAACTCATATTACAATGTATACCCCTATATAAGGGCTCAGAAAATTGCAACATAGATGTCTCTAAAATCAGGTTGTTTTTAATTATATGACATGAAAAGAAACATAAAAAGCAGACACAATTTTGTAAATTGAATTAGGTCTAGAAACGCATAACTTTAACATGTATATTTATACATAATTTGGGGGGAAATGTTTGGAACGTATCAATATGAAGAAACAGTTCATTGGTTTCCACTTCTAGAACTTTTACCTAGAATCTACATAAATATATTATAAGCCCACTGTCTTGGCTATATTTACACGTGAATGTTGTCTTTGACTAATGCAATTCACATCTCTCATGCAAACATCATGAACGCACTTAGCCACACACACAAAACCACACACTCTTCACTCAACACATGTGCCCAAAATACATTAAATTGATCTCCAGGGTATCCTGATTGACGATGTTGAACACAGGAGCATTCCCTATAATCCTCTGATGACTGGCCATCTTATTCTCACTGTTATTAACTAGTAGCTCTGGTCACACCAGGAGCCTGTTCACTCAATCCCTTCAGCTATTCATACACAAATGAGGGCACTGCTGCGGCTGTCACATGGGGCACTTTCAGTGACATAAGACAGCTGGGGTCAGAATACAACTGCTCACTTAATATTAACCCCAGGGGATCACCAGCTTGCAAGCCTGACTCACTGAGGATTACATGCTAGTTTTAGACAATGACAACCAAGAAAAAAAGACAAAAAGCCAGGGTTTAGCTTACCAGCAGCTGGAGCCAGAGGACCACTCCTATTACCCTTAACCAATCACCCGCAACTGAAAAGCAGGAGGTTATTTCTCCTTCTCTTATGGGTACTTTTTAAGCACTAATATCCCTAGGATTAGTTACATAAAAGAAAAGATGCAAGCAGCATTTGCAGGTGTGGTGAGATACTTTGCCCTGATCAGCGTTGAACCAGACAATATCATGCCACAAACGTTTATAGATGCTACTAAGGATAGCTTTAAATGTTTAAGTACATTGTAAACCTGCCTCCCTGCTGGCATTTGAAACATTCACAAATATGCATGTAAGCACACTGCATTAGCAATTTGCAGGCGAATCACCTTGAAGGTGCAATAAATAGATGACCTACATTGCTTCTCAAATATCCATAAATGAGAAACACAGAACTACTTCATTTTGTGTTTTTATTAAATCAGCAACACAAAAGTCTTGAGGTCAACAAGTGGAAACATTAAAGGCACACTCTAGGCACTATAACCATTTCATCTTTTTGCATTGGTTATAATGCTCCAGGTCCCTTGGCACTCTCTATATTCAGAGATAACCTACTTTGAAGCAGTTTAACACAGAATGAGACTCCCATCCACCCATAGCCTGGCCCTTACTGGAAATTACACTCTTCCTAAGCCATACCAATTCATACCAGAAATGGACTGCTGGAGTCTCTCTTTTAGCCATAAACCACAAAAACTGGTTAAAAATTGGAAGGATCTCTCATCGATGAAATAAAGCAGTCACAGTGCCTACAGTATTTTTTACATAAATATTATGGTGGACAATTAAAGGGGGGTCATCCCGTCCCCTCTGGACTCTGCCAACAAGTATATAACCAGACACTTGATAGTTTTTGTATATCCCGCACAATTTCACAATGAACCACTCCATATACCGCCAGTATCCACAAGACGACACATTGTTACTGTTATTTGAAGTCACCTTCTACAGCTCTATTTTAGGTCACTATTTTGCTAGTTCTGCATCACTGTGCTGTGGAGGTGTCCACACCTCTCTGCTATCTCCCTAGATAACAGGATATTTATATTACCGGGCTTCATTAAAACAATTTGATTCTAGCAGCTTTCATTTTTTTATATGCATCTCTGGATATAAACTAAACCCCACATCCGCCCACACTGCAACACATGTCCCTTACGGTATCTTGAATTGTTCCCACGACCTTCACATACCCAGTCGAATGTCACCATCAATTTCTCTAGCAATGAGTCACAACAGGAATGCAGCATCTATAGCATAAGTGGGACGGAGCAGTAGAAAGCCATGTGCTTAAACATTTTTGGGGCCTTCATCTGTTTCTTCAAATTTCTATTCTCTTCCATAATTAACCATATTTAGTGGTTTAATTAAAAATGCAATAGGGATCTGCTTTGGAGAAAAATTTGGGAACAAAATTATTTTTGGATTGCAGATATTACTTTTTCGTTGTAAGTTTCTTTGAGCATTGCCATCCTTCCATTCTGTTCCCTTAAGTCAAAACTTATACCAACAAATACTTGTATGGCTGTTTACTTATTGTTTCACGCTGGTGCTCTCTTACTCAGTGTGTTCCGTAGTCCCAGTGCCTGATGGAAATGGCACATGATGTAATTCCCTGTTGCCGTCAGTCACTATTAACCACGGAACCTCAAGTGGATTCCTTCCCATTAGACAACCAGTAGAGTAGATCATTTGCGACCCAGAGGGTTATGTATTAATAGTGTCTCCATCCTAGGCAATATACACCTGATCCATATAAATGTATTTGAGTTTGAGAACAAAAATGGGAGTTACTTTTCTTATGCTAAATTTTGATTGTTATGCAGATACAGGATGGCCAGAAATTGAATAGCACTACAGAAATTTGGAAAAAAAAGAAAAAAATTCTATAATTTAAGGATATTTTATAAAACATAACTTTTACAACATAATATAATTTTATGCTTATTATACCCCTGATCCTGACCACTTATCATACAGGATGAGTGATATATCCTGTACATACATATGTTGTCAGCATTATGAGATAGGTGAGCAAACAATGTACAGGACATATGAATTTTAAAAAGAAAGGTCTTCAGACTGAATGTATCAGCAAAGAATGAAATTAGATATTAGCCCTGTACAAACAGCAGTCCATAGCATTGTGAGTGACATGTCCAGCCTCTGAGAGTAAGGGAGAGAGAGACAGCTGCAGGCCCTGTGTGAGTGCAAGCTAGCCGGCTGCCATCTCTCTGCGTGGGGGTGGTGGAGAGATGGCACTTGGCACTGCATGCCATTCTGAGGGAGCAGTCTGTGAACATGCTGCAGAATGAATAGATTCTGCTTTGCTCTGCAGAACAGCGAGTCCCAACACAGAAGAGAACAAGCAGAGCATAGTTTGCAGAGCAGCAGAGGGCTCAGCACTGGCAACGCAAAACACTAGCACTGCAGAACACCAATATATAATACAGAAAAAAATTAATCATGTATATCACGCTGGACACAGCAGGGAGTGCACAACTGCAACACTGCATAATGGACTAATAGTGCAGAACACAAGCACTGCATAACACTACCCCGAGATATAGCAATAGAAAACATTAGAATCAGTCTGAAGGCTGGCAAAGCATCGTAGCAGTTGTATAAAGACACTCACATACAATGCATCCCAAAACGCAAACTTCACACTAGATATACAAAGCCATCTAAAATTCACAACGTATACACAAATGTTTAATCAGAAAACTAGGAATTGAGGGAACGGAGTATGTTCAAACAAAATAGCCAGTTTGGCTCATTTCCATCTTAATTCTACATACCCACATTTAATTCTTTATAATCTGCAGTTTAGCTAATACATTGCTTACAGTACGCAGAATCCAGGATAAAAACCACAAACACTGCAGATACACGGCGCACACTGTCCTTTTATCATGTCCTGTTAAGGGTGCTTGTTCACACAAGGCCAAATTCCTCCATGTGTGCACAGAGACAGACATCTGGCAGCAAAGAGTCATTACCATGCAAATCACGGCTCTGTCAGGGGGCATGCCTGAAGTAAACCCACACCTCAGCTGGCATTACAGAATCAATACCCTCACCACTAGCCCTCACTATAAAAGGACAACAGGGATTGATGATTGCAGCCACAATGTATCTACATAACGATCTATCAACAACAAAAGAAGAGTTTAAACTCTGTTTCCCAAACAAAATAAATACATTATGGGGGGTTATTTTGAATAATTTAGAATAAATTTAATTTATTTTGCTGGTGATTATTTTAAAATAATAGAACAATCTCAGAAGGTACATTTGTGAGAATCTTTACTTTAGATACAGTTTACTGACTCCTTGGCCACAATTACATATTACCGGCTCCATCATACTAAACTACAACGTGGGACGGGAGAGTAGTTTGGCATGGCTTTATTAAACAGTCACCCCCCACTGCACACAGACTGAGGAAGACAGAATGCCACTGCCTTAGACATTACCTGTTTAGGGCCAACTTCAGGGCTCATTGTTTGAGGACTTGGGATCTCCCAATGAATTAGAGACCAGTTGGGGTTAGTAATGTCCCAACACATTTTTGATTGGTGTGTGAAAAGGAGCGTAGTGTCTGATGATGGCACAGGTTAACACCTGGTGCTAGTCATAACCTTTTGTTGTAGTATGCCAATCAATTGTCATTGAGCACTATGGAGTGGGCATCAATCTGTAGTGTGCATTTGTGGCCCCAACACCTGCTATTACACCAGCATGCACGGAAATTGAATCAGGTGTGAAAAGAGATCATTATTGGTCACTTCAACATTAAAAGATAACCTTCAGTTTTAGTTACACATGATGTATCTAGCCTTACTGGTCACGGTTTCTACAAAATCATGATATATAATTAATCTGGTCTTCAGAGGGACATACGCAACATTAGATGCAATATAGTAATACCTACAGTCCCTAATGCTTACTTATTTAGAGTAATTTGGAGCAAACATTCAAATGTGGAGCAATCGTCATGGAAACCAGATGGGTTTTCCTGCCAATTGCTCCAGTTTCAGAACACCCTTCCCCAGAACTAGCTCTTTATA